AGATTCAAGTGGGGATTTGGTGCTATTTAGTTGAACAGAATTTAGTCAGTTAGGGAAACTGAAACAATAACATATGTGAAACAGCTTGATTCCTGAGGATGTGAACTATACAATTTTTTTTTTTTAAAACCCACACTCTCACCATAACATTCATTTAGTAAATCTGAATAAGAAATGTATTCAATAGCAACACAATCTGCATGTGAACATTCTGTCAAGAGAAAGACTAAATTCCATGAATCGATAATTTGTTTCAATTGCCTTGGTTTTTGTTTACTATGCTATATTTGCTGAGTATTAGCTTATTAATGTTTTATTAATGTTGGACATCGTCCACGTTAAATCTCTGCACAGGACTGAGTGAACAAGGCCTGTATTTTCTTTGACTTCAAAGAGAGTGAAGAATCTGCAGAACTGCTTTCCAGACTGTGCTGTACTCTATTTGCTCTGCTGTCCTAAGTTCAGAAAAATCACCACATCATCTAAATTTGAGACAAAAGACCTTTCATTCAGTAGATCATATTTTGCAAAACTATTATTTATAGAATGTTGGTAACACACGTAGCATTGTAGTTAACATCAGCCTATTGGCCATTAAATATTTATTTTCATCAAAAGGCTGGCCAGCTGATTTTTAATATTGACAGAGTTCTCTCCTGTATACAACATTTGTTCTAGCTGAAGAGATCTGGTAGAATTTGTTAATCAACTGTAACTACTTGCCATCCATAAAATTGATGGAAAGAAGGGAAAAAACTGCTAGTGGGATCCAAAGACAAACACTTTTACTTAAAACTCTGTGAAAAGAAATCCCGCTCTCTCCATATGTTTTTTTCTTGGCTCTTAATCATCTTTTCATTGGCTTCCAGCTGGCTGTCTCACTATCATCTAGCAGTATCACCAGCAAGACCAACTTGTTATGCTGAAGTCAGGCATAGAGAGAGGAGAACTGCAGAGCAGAGTGACTAGATGCAGCAATCTTGACTAGGAACAAATCAAGTAGAAGCAGTGCATGGCAGGGTCACTTCCCTTGTGTCAGCGCAGCAACCAATGCCACGCTCCTGAAATGCATCAGCAGGTCTGTGCTGGTGCTTTTTGGGAGTGGGAGTGAAGAACGACTACTACAATTGAAGCTAGAGGGAAATTCTGCAGGCAGAAGCGTAATTACCTGAGTGGGAATTCTGGCAGAAAACCCAAACCTCTCTCTCTCCTTAAATAGAAACAAATGCCAGTTTGCAGTCACCATGGAGAGATTACGTATGCTACTTGGATCACACACAATACTGAAATACAACACACACAGGAAAGTCAGCCATGGAGCTGGTTTAGCTGTATACAACCAGCAATCTATTGACTACAGCCATTCAGTCAGCTCATCTCCTTCTAGTCATCTTCCTATTCCTAGCTTTTCCAAATATTAAGGCTCATACCACAGCTTGGGCTCACATGAAAGCTCAGCCCTGCGAGGTGTTTAACCCTTCTGGGAAGGGAAGGTCAGCCTCTAGGCATCTCCCAGACAGCCTAGACAGCTTGTAGAGCTGAAGTAAACCTTCAGTGAGGCAATGCCCTCTTGGGCAAATGCTTCAGCCCAAAAATGTAAACTTATTTTCCATGTACTGAAAACAGCTGATTCGTTTGGGCTGAAACTCTCCCACTCACCACCACTTTTTCTGTGCTGCTACTCTTTGAAAAACTCTTGTGCCCCATTGCTCTAGGTCAAAATTAGAGAGGAGGCCTATGTTTGTCTCAAGTGCCTTCTGTCATTCCTGTGAAACTCAGACTAACCTGGTCTCCATAGCAGATGCTCTGTGGAGGCAGCAGGGTGAAAATTTCTCAGCAGGAGTCAAACTCACTGTGTATACATGCTGAAAGTGTAGCATGCCCATGGCATGGAAATTCTCGATTTCAGGCAGAGCTGGTCTTCATCTGTCCTGTGGTCGGGGTTACCCTTAAGGTGAAAGCCCTTACAAATTTATCCACTTCCAACCACATAAGACAGAAATAGAAGAAACAGTGGGGAAAGAAACATTATACAGTGCATGGCTATTAAAGTCTACTTAGATTCAACTAAGCAACAACCTTTGAAATGCAGCCTCTGGTCTTCAGAGGCTTTGATTTCTGTTACAAGATTTCTTAGTTTTGGTCTGCATCCAGCATACATCTGGTCACCTCTCACAGTAAGGCCCATATCTTCTTGCTCAACCTCTGATTTCTGTCCCTATCCCCTCCTTCTGCTCACTGTATAACTCAGCTTGTTTTCTGTCTTCTGTCTCTCTCAGTCCTGTAGTTTTCTATTGTTCAAACTCAATAGGAATGTTGTCAGACTAAAAATTTCATAAGTTTTTTCAATCACCTGAACCAGCCTCAGAACATTAGGAGAGTGGGTTTTTTTTTCATCTGCAGACATATCAGGCTGGTGGTATTACATGAGAATCTTCTACTTACCCAGACCAACAAAATGCTGTTCTGTATCAGGAAAGCCATTCCACGAATGGTCCTGTTCTCACTTCTCTGCAGTAGCTCAATAAATGAGGAGCTTACAGGGGAGACTGCTGATAAGGTTGCAGACACTGAGATGCCCTTGTTCCCATTCAGTTTTCAAAACAATCCTGCAAATCACCTAACAACTTCAGATTTGAGTTCTGAAAACAACTCTTCTCATTTTAAAATATACATGCATTTCAATTTCCTCCATGTAACACAAGCAATTATGGAGACAGCTGTTTCTGATTTCATTGTCATTTTTCCCCAACATGCACATCCGTGTGACTGGTTTTGGTTTGCATTCTCACAAGACAAGACATTGAGGCCAGCACATTTCCCCTTCCCACCATTACTGGCTTTTTCACAGCTCCTCTCTTTCCAGTTTTAATGTTGTGGTTCACATATGCTGTATTCCTTGGGTTTTCTTAAAGGGAAATATCCTGTATTTGTATTTATGAAGAATTGCCCTCTTTCAAACAACACCATGCATCCTAGCACATTGATGGTACTAAAATTTGCTTCTTCTCCATTTTACAAATCCATGAAAAGCTACTAAAACAAGGGGAAGATTTTCCATCATTTTCAGTCTGTGTCGATTTGAAAGCAGTCTGATCTTGAAAGTTTGCAGCTCCTATTGCTTGAAAACAATGGCCAGCACGGCAATTTAATCACATGCATGAGATACCAAGGCTCAGGCTTTAGGTGTACAAACTGTAAAGATCTGAGAAGGTTCTTTTCATTTCAACAAAATAAATGAGTGCAATTCTCATGCCATTTGTTATATCCTGCATATTCTATTTCTACAAATGGTCACTTATTTTTCTTTTTATGTACCAAGAATTAATTTGTAAAATATGAATCATAAAGCTTACCTTGTTTCCAGTTATGCTACAACCTACAATCTTACACTTAATCAATTTCTTTACTTTAGAAACTGAATTTCAGTTTCTATTTTATTACTTGCATTTGAAGGAGCAAAGAAAAATCACCTTTCTGCAATGACTAAAATATCACCTACTGTTTACTTACAAACAAGTTTTAGAATTGCACCATCCCTGCAAGTGTTTAATCAGAAATTCAAACAAGAAATTCAGCCTGTACATCACGTCCTGACACACGCTGGGTAGCAATTATATTTCAGCATTACCACACACAACCTGCAAACCTCTGCTAGTGGAAAGGAACAACAGAAAAGCAACAACAATGTATTGGCGCACCAAAAGGTTGACTTGAGTTCAAAGTAGACATCAGAAACAGTTCTCCTTTGATCATGCATAAAAGGGAGAAAAAGAAGAAAAATTCTACAGACTTATTTCTTAAGAGACAGGATAATCACATCTGATTCTTTCTGGCAGCTCTAGGATGCCAGCACAGGTAGGTATGAGCAGTCATACACAGAGAGATGTTAGCTACGTCCTGGAAACCATATAATAACCTTAGTGCAGTGCTTTGCTCAATAGAATAAGGCATGCCGAGGCAGAGAAGATTACTTCAGGCTCATTGCCACGTAAAAGAGTTTGTGGCTTTCCAGCCACCCCAGCTGACTGGTTTGGACTGCAGACAAGAGAAACACAGAGGGCTGCCTGCAGCCATGCCTCCAGAATGATCTCCCAGGCTGGAGTCGTTCTCTCAGTGCTGGGGTTTGTTTGATTCTGAAAGCTCATCAACCTTACCACTTGAAGGACTCATTTGTCATGTAAACATCTCAGTTTCACATACGTGGAAAAAAATGGCAAGTTTTACAGTTGGTTTTCCAGTATGAACCTGAGTAAGGTCACAAGCTGACACTGATTTGTTACCAGGATCTCAGTACACCACATAAATACCATCTCACTGGCATAAGGTATTTTGAATACTTTGATTTTATGCAAAATGCCTGCTTCTTTCATTATTTGTAAAAATAATTATTTCTTTCAACTTCAATACTTGTTGATCTCAGCTAAAGTAACCCGAGACACGATCAGTTATGATCTTCTACTGGCAGCACTCTGTTCATATTTCTCTGACAGCTTTTTACAAAATCTTCTTGGAAGCATAAACTGTGGTGTTGGGTTTTTCCCCCCTCCATCTCCTACAAACATCTATCTCAAAGGATATGAGCAGATGCAAACAGTAATCAAGAAATTATACAGCGATTTCAGAAGACATTTAAAACATTTTCCTTAACCACAGCCAGCCTGTTTCCTGACTACATCTCCTCTCATTTAAACATTTGCCAAGCTGTTTGGAATGCTAGAATTGGGAGTTATTTTTTTCCCAATTTCTAATGGAGATGAGGAATACTTAAGAAATCTGACCAGAGACTGATAATGCGTATTTTACTTTACCCAACAGTATGTTATTCCTAAAGAAAAAGAAGAAGAAGAAGAAGCTGGAGACACTCAAGTGTCTTCAGTTCAGTTCTCTCAGGAGGTTCACTGACCCTCAATGACCAGCAGATCAAAATCTCCAGCTAGCCGAGAAGCAGCACATTCCCTCTCAGCTTCAGATGATGGAGCCTGGTCAAAGACAATGAGGTCTGCACACCAGGACACAACATGAAAGCCTTCTGTGGTGCTATTTATTGTAGCAACAGGCCTGGGCAACAGTTTGATGCCATGGTGATCATGAATAACCAAACTCCCAATGATGAGATGAGGGCATTTCTACTGCTTGGACTTGCAACAGGGAAAAGCAGATGGTCCCCATTTCATCATGGGCTGCACTACATCTAACAGGGTTGCTGCAGCACAGCTGTCTTCTGAGGAGCTACAGAACAACTATGAAGCCAAAAGCCAGGTAGCTATTTCTTCCAAACAGTCTCTGTACAGAGTATGTTATGAGATGTCTTAGCATGGGAGTGTACAAGGATATATGTATACAGAGAAGCAGTTTTGCTGTATCTCAGAGGCTGTCAGGGAGCTCTTTACGAACAGCATTAACTCTTAGCTTCATATAAGTCTTAAACCAGAGGGGAATCAGACTCACCATTTGGCCACATGCATGACCTGATTTTACAGCAGCTGAAAATCTGCCTTTCACAGTCTGCATCATTTTGCAGCACATCAGCAGGGTGGATATTGCCTCAAAAAAATATTTTGAGGCAGAGAACTCTGTATATATCCAAATATTACACGATACATGTGCGTAGCCGTTTTGTGAGGACTGCACAGTTGAATTGGCTGAAGCCCAAACTCAGTCACAAGAATATATCCAGTCTCTACTCCTACATTGGTCATTCCTTCCTTTCTGAAATTATATGAGACCTTTCATCACCACGAACATCAATCAACCTGTGACAAAACACAGATAAGTATCAGGAATGTCACTATATTCCACTTTACTCTGAACATGTCAAGCCTATGGGACTATTCTAGAGACTGCTTTCTCCTTACACATTTAAAGAGTCCTCAAGGACTTCTCTCATTCGTTTCTTCATTTTCTTGCAGACTACAAGTGACAGTGCTGACAGAACACAGGCCGCCACCACACAGGAGGGGGCAGCTTGGACAGGGGGCACTTCAGAGAATGGAAGCAAACTTGAAGTTGAAGCCAGCGAGGGAGGCTTTCCTGAGAAATCAACAGAAAGATTTACACCTTCTGAAAAAAGAAGCAACGCACAAAGAACAGGTGAATAGCAGTTGAAGGTCATATCAGCTCCATAGAGAGAGACCTAGAAATGAACCATCTTGAGCCTATTGCCAGCCCTCTTCAATTCACAGCAATGTTCTTGCCATGACACCGCAAGGACTGAGCTCTTCACACTGGTTTGAAGCCTTGCAATAGTAGTGGAAAGTATTTCCTAACCACTCGTTATGTTCTGCAGCATGACTCAGCTCTCGCTACCAGAACAGGCAGAAGGGTATATACTTTTCTTGGCAGACTCTGGGAACAGACCAGGAGAACATACTCAGCCTTGTTGTCTCCAGAGGCAGCACTCGCTAACAGGGATTATGGCACGGCACACTGGGAACATACGTTGCCCACGCTAGTGCTCTCAGCCTGATGCTATCAAGTCAAGCTTTCCTTCTTCTTTTTTCTTCCCCCCTCCCCCCAAACAGAATGGCAAACACTATTCTCTTAACTAGCATCAGGTGTAGACAGCGAGTAAATGCCACATTATTACTTAAGATTGCAGCAAAAAGTTATCATACAAAGAAAACAATAGAACTGCCCAAACTTATCACAGCACGAAGCAGAGATCTGCCAAGAACTTTTTCTAAATGTCTTAAGTTCAAGGCAACATTTAAGTTGAAACTCTCATGTAGTCTTAGGAATACTGATGTAAGATTTGCTGATAGAAAAGCAGTACTGTCTTTGGTGAATACAAACCCCCTAGTTTTATAGTTTACTTTTCAAGTGCTATGAACAGCTTATATTTCACACAACACTGAACAGAAGATCTAAAGTGGCTATTTACTCTTTCTTATAAAGAAGGGCTACAATAAAATATTCCAAATTGAACACAAAAGGAGTAATTACTGATGTTTGCTATTCATTAAAGAGGACTTAACTCCCAACGCCACAGAAGGATGTGATGAAAGGATTTCATTTCAAATTGATTTGCTTGCTCCGAAATAAAGCGTTTCATTTAATGCTGAGTTCCTTTCCTTTGTCCTTGCTAAAAAGATAACTTCACAGGAAATTTCTAAACAGAATTTTTGAAATCATCCTTCAAGCTTCTGTTTCAAGAAACAAAAGAGATACTGCAGCTTTTTTTTTTTTCTTCTGAATGAATGTATTAGTGAAACCCATACAAATTGACATTGCTAATCAGTGTTGCCCATTTATCATGCTTTTATTTATTTGCCAAAGGATGTTTTAGCATATACAGCCTTCTGACTGTTTATGTGCACTGACTGACATCTGAGCCCCAGTGCCTTTTGGGTGACTGATTCAGTTATTTTAGGAGAGAGAGGGAGTCAACTTATACAAGATGGTAGATGTTTTGTATTTGTGTTTTACAACCAGAAATTAAAGAAAAGCCAACACTGCCATAGCCACTTTGCTTAAAAAGATGGGCAGATATCAAATAACTGTGATTTTGACTTGGTCCAAGTATTCTTCATACAAAAGCTCTATTTTCTGCCAGTAGAGACTGGGCAGATGGGATAACTGTCAGCTGAGGGTTGAAATACCTGATAGGCCTTGGCAAACTCATTGCTTATTCATGTCTAATAAGTGGAAACTAAACAGCCCCTCAGAAGGGTTATCAAAATAATTTGGATTTATTCTTAACTGTTGTTTATAAATACATGATTAAGTGTTGGAATGCATGTGATAATGCTCAAATGTAGTGGAACAACAAAAATCATAAGCCATGAAAGCATATGAAAATTTGCATTCATCTAACAGAAGAGTACAGTGATTTTTACAAGACAGCCAGTGTAGGATGGGATAATACAAGCCTATTAATGGGTCCTCTCTCACCAGCTCACACAGTGCTTAAGAACTTGAATTGTAAAACCTGTCCACAGCCTCTGTTTGGGAACATATTGTCTTCACAAACATTCAGCACCTGCTTCCATGCATTTGGCCCTCTGGGTATAACTGGCCATACTGGGAAATTGAACTTGTTTTCCAGCCATTTGAAAGCTTACTCAGCATTTAAGTCGTGAAGAGAGCCTCAAGCAGGCCTTCTCTACAGTACGTTATCAGAATGCAATCTCTTCAATTAAAAGCTCACCTTGAAGATGGCGTTCAAATGATTCACGATTTAAGTGCTCTGCAAGCAGTAAGTTCTGATGTTTTCATCTTTTCAAGATGCACTGCTCACCAGTGGGTTCATCAGCAAATCATGGCCCTTAGAAGAAACAGAGAGACAAAAATCATCAGACATTCTTGAGGAGCTGAGGATGCAGGGAATAATCAGGAGCCAAAGTACTACCGCCAGGACTGGAGAAGCACATGAAAACAAGGTGAGCATCATTACATGACACAAGATCTCTGCTATGGAGTTTTGACTCTTTTGTGAGCTCCACGAGAGTCAATTTCTCTATATGCACAGCATCCAGACAAACCTCCTCTACGATTTTAGCGGCAAGATGTTGAACATAAAACCGTATAATGAGGATGCTAATAAAATTGAAGCTGGCAGTAGTATTCATTCAGTTGTGAAACAAGCCTAGAAGCTGTAAACATGGGTACAGAAGAGAAAGGGGCAGTATTAAGAGACCAGTTCTTTGAAAAACTCACTGGAGAATACGTGCCACAGACTTGTTTCTCAAGTCCACAAAACTATGAGAAACATCACTAATAATTACTAATAATTACATTTGCATTTGATCTCAGACTGAAAAACCATTAGAAAATGTTGTGAGCTTTTTTTATCTGGTTATGTTGTTGTTTTGATTTTTTTAAATAATTTTATAGAACAAGTATTGGATTAAGAAACAAGTGTCCATTTTCTTTTCATTCTGAATAATAACCTGAGGCTTATTTTGGCTTCTGAACTCAAGCTCATTCTTTGTTGTTAAGCATTGTGCTAGGAATCAGTTACTTTTTACAGATAGGGCTTCAAGTACAGATGGTAGGAGGGAGAAAATCCATAAGGAGATTGTAAGAAGTTTAATGCCATTTGTGGCTGTATCCAAAGCACAATCCTTGGACTGACTGGACACGAACAATTCAAGCTCAGACCAAGGATGATTCTGAGTAGCTTTGAAGTTTGAGGCATGCCATTTACTCATCTCTAACCCTGACCACTTACATTAAGGTAACGTGGAAGCTTTCATAAAAAGCACTGAACAAGCCTCACATAATGGTCTGGCTAGTGGTGCAGCACAATGTGCTTCCTACTCTGAGCATTTTGGAAATAGGGACTGAAAAATATCTGAGTGCAGCTTCTCCGTAGCCTTTACTTACTTCCCTCAGACATTTATTTTTTATTTTTTGGAGTATCTGAGAGGAATATTCCCTCTGTGGCTAGATTTAGTTAACACCCTTGCAGGCAGGTTTTTGTATTTTTCCCCTTCATAAAACAGGTGAGCGTCTGTTCTTTTTTTCCCTCCTGTATTAAAAAGCTGTCTGCTATTAAATTACACGTACTCTTTTACTGACAGAAGCTCAGTCTGAACTACTCCTCCTTAGGGAATTTCTGTATACCACCTCCTTACAGAAGGAGAGTCCTATGTTGTTGGTCTTTTTTTCCCCTCAAATATTAAATAATTACTTAATGTATATATCAACATAGCTTTTAAAAAAGTGAGCCTTGAACTTTTCACCAAAAAAGGCAGATTTTCCAAGTGATATTTCACATTTGAGCTGGGCCCACTGCTGGGTGATCTACAACTGAAAACAGATCTGCCACTAGCTGTTAGCTCTTCCTTAGTAGCCATTGAGAAATTGGCCTGTGCTGCCTCCTGTAAGAATAATTTATTACTTTAGAGCTAAAAATCCAGAAGATTATCGATGAACAGAGGGACTAAATGCACTGAATACAGACAGTAGAAAAGGGTTATTACCCTAACACATTCCAAATTACAACACGTGGTGCTGGATTTTGAGCATTAACACACAGGTAAATTCACAGCTGAAATTTTGGAATTGACCAAACATAAGGACAAATGGCTTTGTAGTGAATTTCAGTCCAGCACTAGGTTCAACGAAGAAAAGAGCTCAGACTTCACAGCATTATGAAAGATTAGTTCAATCAGGTTTGGGGTTTACTTTTACAATAATATTGGAGACTGAGATATCCTTGTGGGAGCTTTCCTCCCACAAAGGATGTAACTCTACTCCATGTAAGTATCTGCATCCCTTAAGCTGTGGTAGCATTACGCATCTTCTCAGGATTTCCTACCATTGCCAAAACTCTGAAACCACTGCACTGAAGCCTTCAGTCTTCTGACTTGTCCTTCACTTTATCCTGAACCAAGTGAATTCTGAGCAGTGAAGGCTAAGATGCTTGTTTCTAAGCATTACTGCTCTAAAGGGTAAGTACTTCTGAGAGCAATGTTTTGGGGGGCTAGTCTAACAGAGCCAGGAAGAGCTGCTCACACAATGAGATAAACTACTCTCTGTAATTTTAATGGTGGCTGTTACCAAAAATTTCAGCAGAGCCAGGACTTCTACCTTAATTGCAGATATCAAGGTTTCTTTGTGCGATCGTATTTTGGCATTTAGGCTTTTTTGTTTTTTTAAAAACTACTATTTTTCTTCCAGCGCTTGAAAATATTTTAGCTGAAGTCCAATGTGACAGATTTTCATCCTCACCACTGCCAAGTTCCATTAAGCTTTTCTTTAGTTCATTAGTAACTAGTTGTAGCACATAATCAATCAGGTACCTTTTTTCCAAGTCTACCTTTAGAAACACTCTGATGTGTGAGCTAGAGAGTAACCAGCAGTACTCAAATATATTGTCTCAAATGGAGCTGTCTATGGGAATTTGATCTACTTATGAGTTCCCATTTACAGAACATATGCATAGGTAATTATCTTAGCTTTTCCACTGCAGTTAGCTTTCACTGTGGGTTCCCAGGGTTTCGAAGGAGCTGAATGAGGTGGTTGCCAAGCCACCCTCCATCATATTTGAAAAGTCTTGGCTGTCAGGTGAGGTCCCAGGTGACTGGAAAAAGGGTCATGTCACTACCAGTTATAAGAAAGGGAGCAAGGAGGACAAAGTGCAAGGTTTTGCACTTGGGCCGGAGAAATCCCAGGAATACAGGCTGGGAAGAGCAACCCTTGAGAGCAGCACTGCGGAGAAGGACCTGGGAATCATGGTGGATGAAAAACGGAACGAGCCAGCAATGTGCTCTTGCAGCTCGAAAAGCAAATGGTATCCTGAGCTCCATCAGAAGAGGGGTTGCCAGCAGGGACAGGGAGGTGATCGTCCCTCTCTATTCTGCCCTTGTGAGGCCCCATCTGGAGTACTGTGTCCAGGTCTGGGGCCCCCAGTACAAGAAAGACAGAGAGCTGCTGGAGAGGGTCCAGACAAGAGTCACAAAGGTGAATGAACACCTCCCCTCTGGAAACAGGCTGAGGGAGATGGGCTTGGTCAGCCTGGAGAAGGCTGCAGGGTGACCTCATTGCAGCCTTTTGGTACCTAAAGGGAGCCTACAAACAGGAGGGGAATCAACTCTTCACAAGAGCAGATAATGGCAGAACAAAGGGAAATGGTTTTAAGTTGAGGGAGGGAAGATTTAGGTTGGATAGCAGGGGGAAGTTCTTTACCAAGAGAGTGGAGAGGTGCTGGAACAGCTGCCTAGAGGGGTTGTGGATGCCCCATCCCTGGAGGTGTTCAAGGCCAGGTTGGATGGGGCCCTGGGCAGCCCGGTCTAGTGTTAGATATGGAGGTTGGCAGCCCTACCACAGGCAGGGGTGTTGGAGCTCGATGATCCTTGAGGTCTCTTCCAACCCAAGTCATTCTGATTCTACGATTCCTTGATCCTATGAGAACTCCAGATTTCTCACAGCTGTTTAAATCAAAGATAAATTATTTTCTCAGCTTACATAATCAGAGAACTACCTGGAAAGCTACATTGTTGCTGAGCACCTCATTCATTTCAGATGCATAGGGAAGAATTCAATTTGCCTCTTCCAATATAATCCACAGTTAGTTTATCTTTGGTGAAGAAGGACAATCTCAGCATGCAATACCTTCTCACATTAGGCTTCTGTTAGAAAGCCCTTTATCATTAGAAAGAAGAGGGGGTTTTTTTTGTTTTTTTTTTTTCCCCTTTTGGAAAAAAAACAGTTCTTTTTGTTTCATTTTTACAACAATTGAACATTGTGCAGATTTTTTGTATGTCACCTGCATTCAGAACATCCCCTCTGAATATTAGTTTTCTTCCTACTGATTCATGCTCCACCTTCATTTCACTAAATGAGTCACCCTCTATACTATTTGCAGCACTTAACACTTCTGGCAGTGAGGTCTGACTTATAGAATTATTTAAGGCTGTAAAAGTATGGCAAGCAGATATCCCAGGAGATTTATAAACAGGACAGTGTGTATTTCAGCAACCAGAGGTCCCTGGTTTGACTCCAACACTGTTAAAGCTGCTTATAGTAGACTTCATCCTCCTGGCTGCTTAGATAATCACTGCATCTTTCCAGGAATAGAGATCTAGGACTGGGTTGCTCATTTGCATGCAGCAGAGGCCAGCAGTAATGTGATTATGAAGCTTTAACAAAACAATCCTTAAATTTCTTCAGCAGTAGTAAAGCAGACTCCTTTTCTCTACTGAATTCCCACATCAACTGGGTACAAAGCAACATTAGAATCTTCACAGACTCATCACTTGCCAGAAAATGGGAAGTCTTATTGCAACAGCACTCCTGAGCAAGTGAACACTCAGGTTATTACCACATTGCTATTTACAGGCTTCCTTTGGTACCTGAATCCACCACTTCTATGCATGGAAAGAAAAAAAAAAAAAAAAAAAAGCAGAAGGCAAGCAGCAAAATGTCACTCCAATATCAAAATAGACTCTGCTGAAATCTTTTAATGTCTCTACAGAGAGATGCCCTGGAAAAGATGCTGAAGAAACCACCAGCTAGGCTGGAAAAAATGTGGTTTGGAAACAAGGAAGTGAATGATTTTTACAGCAAAGGACATGAAGACTGCTGAAGAGGGGGGGGGGGGGAAAGAAAGAGGTCATCTGATTCTGTTGTGTATTCTTCAGCATTTGCTTTATCACGTGAAACCCTCTGCTTTTTACACACTGATCTAACATAGACAGTTTGTGTGCAAGCTGCTACCAAAATGCAATCAATGGCAGCAAGTGGATCCTATATTCCTCTCATAGATTTTGAGAGATCAAGTTAATAGTTTAATTTTGCTGAAAGCCTGAAAGATTATCCTAAAAATATGCAGAGGAGGGGAAGCTTCTAAGGCAGTTTTTCCTGCAATAAAAAAATGCATATTCTATGGACACAAGAGTAAATTGGCTAAGTTTGATGCTAACTGGAGTGATGTTCTGATTTAATTTGGGTAGGAAGACTGAAAGAAATGCTGCATATGATTGATGAATCTTCTTCCTGCTTCCATCCCTCTTTATAGAGCACTGGGGTTTTTCTGTTTTGTTTTAGGTTAGGGAAAAGGAACTAAACAGGAAACCACAACACACTGCATTTTATCCAGCAACGGCCCATCAAACTACAGGTAAACAGACTGAAAAGGACTGCCCAAGTTTTCAAAGTCAAGAAAGCACAGATGCCCCTCAGTCATCACCTTTACATGGTGAGATAAGTGTACTGCTGCAGGAAATAACTGCAGAAGAAACCACAAATTATTACACTGAGGACTTTACCATTGAGTCTGATATAACTTACAACTGTATCAATGAAACAATCTGGATCTAAGCCATCCTGCAAAGAAGGAACCTCTCTGCTGCTTTTTATCTCGGGGCTTAAGTAGATGATTAATCCTGAGCTGATGTTTGTGGTTACCTATTTCACCTTGGAAAACTCTACTTTCACATTTTTACACACTAGTTGAAGCAAATAAGAAAAGGAAGAGGCAAATTAGTGACCCGCCAGTCTCTACATTGGAGTTACATACATATGAACAGGTTCTATTACACTTAACTCTAGAATCCCCTTTTTCTAGAGAGCAGGAGTTTGGAAAGGCATTGTAAACATACAGAAAGGCATAAAAGGAGGAGTGAAGGAAGAAAAAAAGCCTGAACAGCTACAAGATTTGGAGTAGTAAAACACAGTGGAGACCTAAACATAAGAACAAAGAATTTTAACTTACTGTGCAGGCAGGGATGTGAAAGCTTCAGACATTAAGGCAACAACAGGCCACAGGAACGTCTGTGTATACAGAGCAAGAACTAATACTGAAACTGCAGTGGAGAAAACAACTAATTGGCTGAGATATACAAAGTACAGGTGAGTTACCCATCTAGTCAGGAAGAATGTGATCGGTCTCCATTGGAAGGATAGGACTGTTTCCATAACAGAGCAATAAATTTGCAATCTCCCATTCCCTACCTCCTATACACATGCAACGTCTAATATACCCAGCTCTTCCAAAACCAGTGTAACAGCAATGGCTGCATTTGTGCTTTGCTTCTTACCACCCATACCATCCCCTTCTGGTTCATCTCTAGACATGCCTAATCCTTACTTCCATACCACACTCACACCCACCTGCTATGCTGGCTTTTTTAATTCTTGACCTCCAGCTCCTGATGATGCATTCTTCCTTTCTGCCTTCTAAGCCAAGGAAATTCAATTACAGTACAGGACCACTGCTCTCTTTGCCAGGTACTATAGAAAAGAGAAAAACTTAGCCTTTATTTGTACAGTCTCATTGTGGTTCTCCCTATTACTCTCTGGAAATTAAAGAAATAAATAAACAATGCTTGCGCTGAAACATTAAAGGTAGGAACAAGATCTCATCTCGTTACTCAGGCAGCTGGGATCCCACCTGAGTGAGTAAGCTCACCAGGAAGAGACCAATGCTTCAGGTTTGGCCATATTGTTGGTTTTTAAGAAAAAGATGGGACACAGTAGCAAATAGAAAAGCAATACTGAAAATTACCCTGTGTTGCCTGGAAAGAACTGTAAAAATACTGAAGAAAAAGAGAAACAAACTTAGGAAAAAGAAGAACTTTGGTCAGCTGGCTTGAAGTCATTCAACAGTCTGACAGACAGGGGAAGCAGGAGATTGCAAATGTGTTTTCACCATACAGTTAACGAATGTTGTTCACCGAATTTTCTCTTAGATACTTTAAGCTAAGGCTGCCTAGCCAGGCATGGAATAAAAACGTGTGTTTGTGTGCACACATAGCCATACAGACTGTTCTATTGAGCTGATTAGCCTCCTTTCTAATGAAGGTAAAGACACCGAAGCACTAGTAGTTGCCCAAAGCCTTCCTGTGGTTTCAGAAGGATGGGACAAACAGTTGTCTGTCCCCACCCAAGCGTCCTTTCTTCCACTATTTCCCAGATAAGGATTTTAGCTCCCTGCAGCACAAAAGGCCTCATGACACACAGAGAGAGAAGCGCAGCAGCAGGCAAGGTGCCTTTCTGCACTGCGACCACCTGTGGGCTCCTGCACGGCTCAGCTGCGTCAGACACGCTGCTCTCCCACATCAGCCACACGGCAAGGACAGCCCGAGAAAAGCAGCAGTAAACAGGAGAGCTTCTGAAGGTGTCATTTTAAGACAAAGTTCAAATCTCTCTGCTGGTAACGTTTGCTTTACTAATAAGAAAAGCAGTAAAGCAGTTCAGGCTTGCCTTACTGAGTTGTGTATTTACCTGAAAGCTAATCTAACTAGTACTGAAAGGCACCCATGTCTTCCCATTGCCTTTAGCAGATGTTGGACTCATCCCCCAGTGCACAACAGTAGCAAAGCAGGGAGAACAAAGCTACGTTTGTGAGCAAAGGACCTGCCTGCTGTTCTGCCTGCACCCAGAGAACGGGATGTTGTGACCGTTCCAGTGAATAAACCACCGCTGGCAAGCATCTGACAACGGCAGGGCTCTCAGCAGGCGCAGACGCTTTTAAATCCCCACGCGGCTCCCTCGGGCCCTGCCGCTGTCACAGAGAGCGGAGCTCAGCGCTTCCACAGCCTCCACGCGAGGAGCCGCCACGAGGCTTCCCTTCAGCCTCCGCACAGCGAGCCGGGCGCGCCCGGCTCCACGCCGCGCCCTGCCGTCGGCGGAGCGGGGCTCTCACCGCCCCCCCACGCCCAGCAGGTGTCACCCTGCCCCGCGCAACTCCCCGCCGCGCCCCGCTCCCGGCCTCGGGCCGCCGGCCCCTGCTCGCTGCCGCCCCGCCGCGGCCCAGCTCGGCGCTGCCTCGGGGCAGCTTTTGTCTGTCTGTCTCTCTCTCTCTCTCCCCCTCTTGCCTTCCTCGTTTGGCTCCTCTGTTCCTCCGGCGTTCTTTCTGTTTGAGCCAGTTCTCTTTTCTCCCCAGCCCGCGGGCAGTCTCCATCTCGTCCTTGCTGCTCTGAAGTTCTCTACATCTTCCCAGGATGGGGATGGCAAGAAGTGAAACCTCCGACCGAGGAGTGCTTGAACTCGGTGTGCATCTCGCTGTGTAAGCAGCCCGAGGTGCCAAGCGCTGCACCGCAGCACGCTCACAGCTGTCCCCTGTGGAGCTGCACTCTTCCTTAATTTGCTCCGTCTGCATTTCAATACCACCTGGAACGACGAAACCCAAATCAGTCCCTAAAGCTTTACCCGAGCTGCGCTTTAGCCGTCTGCCTCTTTAAACGTAGCTAAGGCCAAGCAGAGTTATTACATGGTGGGGGTAAAACTCAGCTATCTGCGGTGATGCTTTGGCATGAATTCAGGAAGCCTTCCATGCTGGGAAGGGCCATTAAACAATGTCATCTGACCTCCTGCACGTACAGAACATCGCATTAAATTACTGGCTGTAGTACTCGGGGGTACAGAGGGATCTTAAAAGAAAAATCAGAATCAGGGCCCTCCAACCTCGCTTTGTTTTCCTCCGTTAATTTGACATTTCAAAATAACTTGGCTGCTTTTCAAGTGCTGTCAGAAGTGCTGGTTTCCCTTTGAGGAGCAGTAACTTCTGATTTCAGGCAGTACATCAAGAGAAACCATCATTTCTCTTCCCAGCACAGAGCCGGCGAGTACTGAGAAGAGATGTTAGCGATTGCATAAGCCACTGCTGAAGAAATCCCAACTGGCAGAAGATCCCGGGTCGCACCGCACGAGGGGGAGTCTGGGGGCAGAGGGCACAGCAGAGGGCTGGACTCAGGAGGAGAGAGGGTGGGAAATGGAATGCTTTCGGACAGAGAAGCCTCTGCTGCACAACCCCTCCTAGAGTGGGAATAACAAAAATATTTCTCTCCTTCTCCTTTTGAAAAACCAAACCGTTTGATAAAACAAAGACACAACTTTTACAAAGTAGAAATGGCAACAATCACGCCCAGCAGGGACTCCATTTTGCTCGTTGAATTCCCCCTCCTTTCCTGTTGTCTTGCAGATTAGGAAGGCACGGGATAAAGAGATCTTGTCAGGGATATTAATGGAGCCCTCCCTCCAGATAACTGCAGAGGCTCGGGTCCCAGCCCCTCTCACCGCGAGGCAGCTCGCTGGGGAGATGTGTTCCCAAACAAGCTGATAGAGGCTATCTTGGGGTGGTGAGGATGGAGCAGGGCACAAACACCCTTCCCAGCTGTGTAACCCCTGAGTGCCCTCACTCCCAGCTACCCTGCTAATGTTTCTGCTGGGATTTTATGCTGTTGCAGTGATTTGTTCTGAAATAGAGACCTGACAGATCAATGAACAGCAGAATATGCTTGCTGTCTACAGCGCTTTCCCACTTCACTGATATTTTGCTTTCTTGCTTCTCTGGCAGTTTTACTGTATAAAGTGTTTTTGTTTTAGAGAGGATAGTGAGAGAAAGACAATGAAGGAGGTAAACAAATGCAAAGAGATTTACAAAGACAGCACAGGGAAATTTCTTTCTGCTCCAGATGGGAGTTTTCAGTGCGCTGTGGCAGCACGTAGTGCCCAACCACTACAGTATGTTGGTAGGACTGCTTCCATTATTTTCACCCTATTTATATTCTGGAAGAACGTAAATAAATATAAAGCCAGCTATGATATGGAATGATGATTATTGGCAACAGCATCTCTAAGAGCTGCTTAGACTAGAGTTGTACTTAAAAATCAAATGTATGAGAACCAGCTGCAGATCTGCAAAATGTAGAAAGTCCTGCGAGGAACTAAAAATTTCCTTCTGATGTTCTCCTCTCATGTGGTTGTTACCTTTCCTGTTACACTCGCTGGATGCTTAGAAATGGGAACATGAATAGTTGAAGTTACAGAGACAATGCTCCTAGGCTGGAACTGCAAAGGATCTAAATTCTCAGTAACACAGTGTTATGCTGTGACTTCATCTATGCTGCAAAATCAAACATGCCTGGGCCAGATGGCATGGAACATCAATAACCATCCTATCAAATTCTATCATCACTAAAAAATGTCTGTATCTGAACACAGAAATGGTCCTCGATCATAATATCTTCTGAATTGTAACTTGGAGCTTCCTTGAAAAGCACTAATTGGGAAATGTAAAAACTGCTGGAGATTGTTTGGACAGTTTAGTTTATATTTGGAAACCTTCCTGGCCACTGTTTAAATTACTAGAGTGGATGCTGTCTGAAACTATGTTTTTCTCATCTTTTTAACTTATGTGATGGTCCATCTTCTCTGTATTATGTCCTTTAGATTACATGGCCAAAAAACTTAATTATCCCCTCATTTTATACATATCAGATAGAAATGAGCTATTTTAGTGATTGTCATATTTAACACAAAATTCATTAAACTGAACCCAGAATTCTTGATAGAAGCTCTGAGCTTTAATCACCATGACCCTAGCGACTGATA